CTATGGTGAGGAGGAGAGAGGCCTCGCTCCTCTGTCATCTATAGATTTCTCCCTTGTGTGGTGGAGCCCTCAGTTCCTCGTAATGCTTCTTTGTTTTCCCAGAAGGAAACTATAAAATTGACCCAGTGAAGGATCAATGTTTTATAGATTTGCATCAAATTGATAATTTAAGAGGTATTTCCTTGCCAGGCCTTTCCCACATTGTAATTTATTCGATGCTCGTAGAAATTTTGGCATTGACCACATTCCTTATCTCCACTCAATAGAAGGCAAGTCTGGGACTAGGAAGTAATATTATCAGCCTGGGGTTTCTAGCAGGTGAAAGGCCAAATCAGGACTTGAATCTATTTCTGTCTAGACGCAGTACTTGAATTTTTGTTATTACTCTTTCTTTCTTTCTTTCCTTCTTTCTTTCTTTCTCTTTCTTTCTTTCTTTCTTTCTCTCTTTCTTTCTTTCTTTCTTTCTCTCTCTCTCTCCCTCTCTCTCTCTCTTTCTTTCTTTCTTCTTTCTTTTTTTCCTTTTAATCACTGGCAAGTTGTAATGGTGAGAGTGAACTTTCTGTCTTTGCTGTAAAGAAAACTCTCTCTCTCTTTCCCATGTCAACCTGAAGTTACTTAGACAAGTCAGGGACTAGGAGCAGATAAACAGTAGTTATTTATCTTTTATTTTATTTATTTATTTATTTTTATCTTTGACCCTCTTTCTTCTAACAGACATAAGCCCAGAATTAAACCCAGTCATTTTTGGACAGGGACACATGACTATCCCACGGAAGTGCTGGGAATGATTTGGGTGGGTTGTGGTTTTCAATGTTAGTCTTGAGAGGCTGCAGCTCCCCATGTCTCAGAGAGAATTAGGAGTGCTGGGCCACTCTGCAGGGATGAGAGCTGGGGTGCGAAGTCTTAGGACTTTCTTCTTGTTGGGATGAATAGATATAAAAGATCAATGACTAGTAGGATACTTCGACCACTCATCCACCCATTCACTTACTCACTCATTCAACACTCACCAAGCACTTTCATTACACCAGAGACTGTGCTGAGTGACAAGGAAACCATCAAGACCTGGTTCCTGCTTTAGAGCTCACAGCTAGTCAAATAGGAAATCGTTATGCGACACATGGGTAAGGGTCCAAAACACACACGGTTGGACCTTTGCTGGCCAAGAATGGCTTCCTGGAGTAAGTGGCTTCTTAAATGAGACTTGAAGGCAGTGCAGAGAAAAGGAGCAGGTTGGGGAAGAAGAAAGGAGACCCTGGTGGAGGGAACACCCCCCAGAAAGACCTGAAGATGACATTGGCGACAGCAGGAGTGTGAGATCACTAGTATTTTATGGGGAGGGGAGTTTCAGGGATATACTGGTGTTTGTACCAGTGGTGTTCCAGAGCCAGCTCAAATTGGCTTTTAAGAGTTTTGTGTCAAACAGCTATTATTAAATTAAACTTTCAATAAAGTAAATTCTACTATAGGCAAAGGTAATAAATACTCAAAACTGTTCATTTCAGTTATTTTTCTGGACTTAATGTTATCTATGCTCTGGGTATTATTTTTATCCATTGATTTTATATGGTAGAAATCACATTTAATGTGCTACTATACAAATCTTCCCAACTCTACTTTCAGTTTCAGCATGTGGAAACTTGAAATTGGTTGTGCAAGGAACATTTACACCATGGAAATGGGTAGACACTTGATATCCAAAAACAAGACCCCTCCCCTTTATTCTCTGGAGAGTAAATTGTTAAACATTACCAGCCCACAACTGAATTTAATGTACATACATGAGAATGCAGAAACACAAGTGTAATCCGAATACATACACACACACAACTAATTTCTATCCTGGCAGCGCCAATACCCCTTAGAAACTAAGGAGAGCTTTTCCAGCCCTTTAATCCCATAGCAACCCCCTCTACATTTTAGTGTTAACATTTAGGTATTTATTTTCCATCTATTTTGCCATAAATATTTAAAAATTGTACTAAAAATACAGCATCCTTGGAAAAAATAGAAAGCACCTTTATGGGGGTCCTAACTAGAAGAAGACAAACCCAGCACCAGGGCTTTGGGAGCCCTATGCATCAGTGTGGACCTAAGGAGGTGGGACTACTGCAAGGATCTGAGAAGGAGGGAGGCATGGCCAGCTTTGCCCCTGAAAAAACTCTTGTTCTCCAAGAGGCAGGGAGAGACTGGAGGTAGCAGACCAGACTGGAGGCTGTTGCTGATCAGAAATGCAAAGATGATGGTGGCCCAAACCGGTCAGCCTCCTTCTGAAAGCGAGTACTCTTATCTCATTGTTCCAGAGCCTGGGGAAAGGGACCTGCCTGCACCCTTAGGAGAAGGGCAGGAGGAGGCCAGTTTGCTCCCTGTGGGAAGATTGCCTCCTAATTCCCAGCTCAGGGGTTCTCGCCTCACATCTCAGTTGTGAGCATGGGTCCTCCAAGACCACCCCTGTTGGAGGTCTGCTTCTGATACTAACTAGTTGCATGACACTGGAAAAGTTACTTAACTTCTCTGAATACCCCTTTATGTCCATACCAAATTAAAATAATGATAGCCCTGCCTTTGAGGGGGTTTGATGAAGAACTCATCTATAGGAAGCACTTAGCTCATTGTAAGCACTCAAGATGCGTTACAGGCTGCTGTTGCATCGTCTGCCTGACCTAGAGGAAGGGAGGAAGGAAAGAAAAGAGGAAAGAGAAAGAACAGTTCTCCAAATAGCTGTACCTCCTAGGTCACACAGGCGTGTGACTTTAGTCTCGTTTGGAGCCCAAGCAGAGAAGATTGGAGTTGGGTTGCTTGAGGACGAGTGTGCAAGCTAGTGGTTTGTGGTAGTGCATCATACCCTCTGTCAGCTCATCTCACCTCCTCCATGCAGCCTTCCTGATCTCTCTAACACATAGGAAGTCCTTTTCTGAGACCCATTGTTGGTGCCGAGGGCCACAGCTGCACTGCAGAGCCAAGTGCAGGAGGCAGGTGAAGGCACCCAGAGCAAACGCTGCTGGAGACCGGTCCTTCTCTGCTCCCTCCCTTCCTTCAGCTCTCCTTTTCTCCCTTACCTGATTCTCTTCAGCTCTCACTTCTCCCCAGAAGAAGAGAACCCAGACAGGGGCAAGTAGCAGCCTGCAGAAGCTGACCAGAAAGACCCGGGTCCCATCCTGGAACTGTGCCCACTGGCGCACCTAGCATTGCGTCCCCACGAACACCTGGCGCTGCTACCAGGAACTCCCTGCACGAGTTGGCAAGAGTTGGCAGGCTCTTGGTTTGTCAGGGCCCTAAAGACCTGCCCTTTACTGCCTGTGCCCATTAACTTCTGGGCCAATGGAGAAGGGAGACTTAAGGTTGTGGACTTTGGTTCCGAGTCACAGGCTTTCTTCCAGGATGGCTTGGGTCCTCTTTGGACCTGTTCACATCCTTCCCTGGCTGAGGCTGCATCCACTGCCAATCTGCCCAGGAGGGGGTGTGTGAGGGGGGTGGGAGGGAGAGCAGCAGGGAGATGGTCAATGGAGAGGGTGGGCTCCAGGGTCTGCTCAGCACATCTGGCAGCAGAGTGATCTGGTGTGACAAGGTTAGAGTCCCGGACCTGGTGGCTTGTTTTCTTGCTTTCTCTTTCTCAGCCTCTCTCTGGTAAAATTAAAATAAATAAATAAATAAAAGTTAATAAATAAAACAATTCTTTAAAAAAATCCCTTGTCTGGCTTCAGGAACCTACTCTTACCTTTGCATCTGACTCTGTCTCCCTGGTGCCAAATGGGGCGTTTCTTCCCCTTCAAGCCTCAGGCTCTGCTTCTGTGCAGCAAGGGCCAGCCTGTTTGGGGTTCCTGTGGATTTCGATGGGCTGACACTGTGTCCCTTCCCTGGGCCTCTCTCTGCCACTGCCTTCTCCTGCATGTGCCAGGAGAAGGCTCACTGGGACAGGGACCCCCAGGACAAGCTCTGAGGGGTTGTACGGTGGTGCCCACGTCTCACCTTTCTGTTTTTCATGATTCTGCTCTGCTTTGCTCAGTCCCAGCCTCTCCATTGCGAGGTGCTATGGTGAAGAGTTTCAGCCACGGCCTCAGTGGGGCTGTGTGAGCCCTGGCGTATGCCCTTGGTCAGGCTACGATCTATCAAGGCCTCCCTCAGTTTTCTCACCTGTGTAAGGGACATACTGGCACTGGCCGCACTGGATATTTTGAGAACTAAATGGTGTCAGTAAAGCGGGTGAAGTCCTGACAGTCCTGGCATGCGGTAAACCACGGTGAATGCTGTCGTTGTCATTATTGCTACCTACCACCTTGCCTCCGCCACACCAGGAAAACAACACCCCAGTCCGAGTGGGCAGCTGTGCAGGCGGCCAGCCACCCCTGGCTTGAGCCCTCTCTGTCCACCTGAGGAGACTCCCAACCAGAAAGCCTCCAGCTTTGATGCACAGTCTTCCTGCATGCATTGTGCCAGGAACAGCAGCAGATCCCAGTGTCCACACTTGTGGGCTGCTGTGAGGACAAAAGAGGCCCCACCTGCACAGCACCTGGCCCGGGCCTGCCCACAGCCCTCTTACAATGGAGCCAACAGTGCTGCTCTCAGGTACTAGGGTCAGCCACAGCCGGGGCCATGCGGGGACACGATGAGCTGCAGGGGATGAGCAAACCCCGGCCTGGGACAAACGATGAGAACTTCAGACAAGCCACCTTGACTCTATTTTCTCATCTGTGCAGGAGTAAAGACCATGGCCCAGCTAGGAGGGCTTCCTGATCTGTGTATTGTGTGTTCTGAAGGGGCGGGAGGGAGGTGCCCTCCATGAACCTACCCTACCCCCGGGCTCCCCTCTTTTCCCAACACCGCCCCCCACCCCTGTCTCCACATCAAAGCAGAGGAGGGGAAGACACTGGTCCTTTCTCTGCCTCTTCTCCCAAATGCCTGCAGCTCCCCACTGTGCTTGGCCCTGTATGGAACCAGCCAGGCCACTGAGAGACACGAACACCCATAAGGAAAGCCACACGCTTCTGCACAAAGTTGTTTTGTTTTGTTTTAATGAAAAAGAAAATAAGAAAACAAATAGCACCTCCCAGGCTGTGCTGTGATGAAGCATCAGAGGCCTATGATGTTCACAAAAAATAAGAATGAGGAAGCCCAGGTGCTGGGGCGGAGACCCCCTGTGAGGGTGGGCCCAGGGCCCCCTGGAGGCCATTGTTCTCAGACACCCACTGTCCCAGGCCATAAGAAAGAAGGCACTCATGCAGCTTTGTCTCACCTGGACCCTCACTGGCCCCCGACGTGCGCACTTGGGAAACTGGACTTTACGGCTGGGCCGTGCTGGGGTGGGGGTTTTGGGGTACATGCTGCTCCTCTCCCTGACCCCTGGCTCTATTCAGGGTCTCCTAGGAGTGAGGGAGGTAGGCATGGGACTGGGCTTCCCTCCTTGGGTGGCAGCAAAACGGGCATCTGCAGGTAAGCTGAGGCAGAATGAGGACTCGGGCCAGGACCAGGCGCCGAATTCTGATGGACAGCCAGGGTAGCAGGAGATTCTGGTATGTTTGGCCTCTTCAGCTTTCCAACCTGACCTTCTGTCGCTGCTCAACCCACTCTTGCAGCCCAGCTTCCCTGGACCCATCTTTGGGGTCACCAGACCTGGATTTGGCCCCCAGCTCTACTAGCTCGTATGACCTGACAAGGTCGCCTGGCTTTCTCAAGCCTGTTTCCTCATTACTAAGTGGAGAGCCACCTGCGAACATCACGGGACGATGGCATGGAGAGTGACTACGCCTTCACAGAGCTGGGACGGCACCTGGCACCGAAGTGCTCAGCTGAGGGCCACTGTGACCCAGGCACCGGTATTTCCACCCCAAAGTTGGTGAGTCTGCAAATGTATGTGAGGTCAACGGAAGGTCGGAACCGTGTTCCAGAGAGACCGCACACTCTGAGCCTCCTGTGTCACGTCTGGGCGGCTGCGGCCTGGGATCGGCGTGGAGGACCTTGACTGCTTTCGTCTGGGGCATGTCCTTCGGGATCGAGCTGCTCTGTCCCTAGACCTCGGTGCCCTCCCTGGGGTAGAGGACGCTGTTGGAGCTGATGCTGTTGTAGAAGTGAGGGCTGAACTGGTTGAGAACAGAGCCTCCGTAGCCCAGAGCGCCCGCGGGCACGGGGTTGGCCCACTCGCCCCCGCCGCTATGGCTGGTGTGGGTGGGGGGG